CAAGCAATGGAAAATAGGATCTCAATCACAGTTGAGTGAACCAAAGAGGTCCACTACTAGTGGGAGATGCACCATTCTTCAATTGAGTTTGAAGAGAGGCTATGTCTCTATAAAGGACAGCCAAGAACAAAGAACATAAATTCAAAGGCCTGCCACGCGCCAATTCGTGCGTTATGGGTAAGTAACTCAGGGAGGGCTTTATGCTTGGCACACACAAAACATATTTACAAAGCCAAACTAGAAGGAAGGCCACTCGCTCAGTATGGGAAGACTCAGCGCTCGAATCATTGTGAAGGGTTTGCAGGTTTGAATAAGAATCGGTGTAGTTTTTATCAAACTTTGGGGCGCCACCAGAAACCAAGATACCAGGAAAAATAGTATCGCCCAAAGGTGGTAGATTCACCAGGGCCCCAACATCCCTTAAGGTAATAGACATGGGGCCAAGAGGGAAAATAAAAGTGTTATACTCGGAAGACCAAAAACTCAAAGCAATCGAAAAGAGTGTTGAATCAAAAGTAGGGGGTGAATAGAGATTTCTAACAAATCAGAAATCCTAGCGCTATCAAAAAATGCCTTAGTAGGACCATGACCCACAAGGCGAGCATGCCACCTACAGAAAGCTACATCAGATTTAGGCCAAGTGTGAATACCTCTTTCGCGAAGTGGCCCCAGTGGCAGAGAGTTTAGAAAAGGAAGGCCTTGAGTGCAAGGAAACAGTTGACCCACCGCCGCCTGTTCAACTGCCTCTGCATTGTTGAAGAAAGGACCAAAGTAGAACTCATTACGTTCAACATCGGCGGGCGCGAGAAAACTCGGAGTTATGTATGGACGACTCAAGAGTTTCTGAAAGTCATCAAAACTAAAGGAGTCGCCAGCTTGAGATTGTGAAGTAGCCATTTGAGATGGAACGAAGTTTTTTAGGGTTACGTAGCAGGAAAGAAAAAGATGAACAGTAAATCGTGGGAGAGACGGGAAAAATTTGAGGCGTGATTTAGTGGTGTAGTGAAATGACGTGTTTGGGGGTTATAAGGGTTTCCAAAACGACGCACCTTTTCAAGTTATAGAAGAAAACAATGATTGAAATTTTTGAGAATTTCGAATGTTGCTGGAAACACAAAGTGAATATGGTAAAATTTAATAATAATTATTAATTCTGCCATATTGGGGGGTAATTGTTGACACATAAAAATTCAGCCCTAATCGAACGGTCCAAGGAGTGAAGCCCAATTGGAGGATCCCCAAATCAGATAGCCCAAAGAACAAAGCCCAATCAAACAAATCAAGATGAAGGCCCAAATAGGGAGGCCCAAGAACGCGGTAACGCTATCGCCCAAGTTTGCAAGTCGCCCAGAATCTGAGCGAATGAAGTGCCATACAGTCGCCCAGAGCTGTTACTCTATTCTCACCCAAACCTTCAAGTCGCCCAAAGTCTAAATAAACATAAAGCGTTGTGGTTATCAAGACGTGCCGTTATCAAAGCAGTTATTAAAGCAGCCCTATCACGTTCCATGATTCAAGGAATTCAATCGAAAGCGGTTGAACGACGAAGAGTAATGTCAGTAGTTAAAAAGGGCAGTTTTCATGACAAGTTGGCCATTACGAGAAAAGTGGGCAGTTATAGGACGATCAAGTAGTTTTTAGGCGGTTGATCACAAAGAGATTGTCCATGAAGTATAAAAGGGAGAAAAGATATAGAGCAAAGGACCGAATCAAAAACTCTCGAACAGAGAATATGTAATTTTAATTTTCTTAGTTTAGATTTAAACAATTTTCTTTCAGTAACTCGTGTGCTTGAACCCCTTGGAGGCACATTGTTTTTAATTTCCAATTGTAAAGTCACCGCCAATAAAAGAACACCCTTTTTGGGACTTTGTCTGAAGATGTTTGTCCCTTACACAATCGCCTGATCCTTTTTAATTGTTAACGACTAACTCGCACGAAATAGTATGAAATATTTTATTATATAAATATATAATTAAAAATGAGTATAAAATTTAAACAATTTTATTTTAAAGATTGACAAACCGGGATAAAAAGTAAAATACCCGTCGAAGTCTTCGAAATTTTTAAGAGACATTGGATTCATCTGTAATTTTTTGGTCCATTGATAACTCTTTCAAAGAAGAGGAGAAATAATAAAACAGTGAAAATAGAGGCAGGTGGTGACCGGCAAATGTCGGTGAAACATATAGCCGTCAAAATGACGTGTCATATTAAACAACTGCCTCGCCTTAAGTGTCAGTAATAATCTTGTCATTTGCTGCAACGATAAATTTGTCGTGCTGTCCACGTCACCACTTCCGTGCCTTACTCGCATAAACCAAATATCTCAACTTCCTTAATGCAAATGCTCTCCAGCCTGGCGTGGTCAAACCATTCATCTTCGTGCTTATCCTTATTTTTGAGAATGTTCAATTATGAATTACCTAATCCCAAACACTGTTGACACGTCAATCTCTGAGAGATGTGAGCAATTTTTAGGATAGGACCGGATCACAATAAATAAATCAATCATATATATTGTGGTATCTAACATAGTGTTCAAAAAAGACACCTGGTATCTCGGCCAATTTTTAGGATAGGACCGGATCACAATAAATCAATCAATCATGCTTGGGATACATTGTGGTATCCAACATGATGTCCAAAATGGACACCCGACACCTCAACATTGATCGAGGTGTCTACCACGCCGGAGCCCACTGGCACCTCGGCCAATACCGAGGTGCCGAGTGTCCATTTTGAACATCATATTGGACACCACAATGTACCAAGAGCATTATCCTAAATCATTATCCTACTATTCCAGTTATGTAAGAATAATATTGTGTCCAGTTTGACAGAAATCTCACTTTTTTTTTAAAATTTTTAATAAAAATTGATAAAATATACAGCTTTTATCTGGTATTGATTATAATCTAAATTTTAATTTAAGTTAAAGGCAATAATTATTTTTAATCGCATAATTTATAAATTTAATTCAGATGTGTTATTAAAGTGTGATCATTTATGACTAATTTATAAATTTTGACAAACAAAGTGAGAACAAGAGCAAATTAATTATTAATTTTAATCATATATTTAATGGGATTCACAACTATTTAATTACACATTTCATCAACTTTTATCAAAATTTACTAAAAATATGATGTTTATCTAAACCAAATAGGGATTATGATGAATTGTTGTGTGCTTTCACTTCGTGACATGGCTTTTTTTTATTTTTATTTTTCCTTCTTTAAATGGCGCCAGGGACGTGTAGTGAGTTGGGACTAGGATCATGAGAGCAATTTGGAGAGGTGGTAAATTTGTTCGGTCTTGACCTGTCCTATATTGTTTTGCTTCTTTTCAATTTTTAATTAAAATTATAATAAATTAATTAAATGGAATTGTAAATGAGGATTATTTTAATATCGACCTCATTTCGTTCTCACTCCACCTCCAGAAAATCCCTGACAAGCGAGGGAAAGGAAAGGATCGAATTGATCCCGACTTGTTAGTTGCCATCCCTCGTTATTTGAATGGTCAAACATAATGAAAATAAATGGAGGGAGACGCACCTTCATATCAAATGCGACACTTGTTTGATAGAGTGATGTGGATCGTCGTTAAGGATAAATATTCTTGTCACCCGTTTCTTGGAGAAAGATGTGGAGATGAAAGGCCCCACCAAGCTCAATTAAATTTCTCAATATTCGACTAGATATAAATTATATTTGCTAAAGAGGCAATGAACAATTATATCACGATAATTAAATGAGTAATGCCATTTAGTCTTATTGAAATTACAACTTCAGTTTATGTGGTGTTAATGTGACATTAAGGGGTGTGTGATTGCATTTATTTTCCATGAAAAATATCAATTTCCCACCAACATTCCTACTTTGGAGGGTTTGATTGCTATTTTTTCCATTGAAAATATTTTTCAACTTTTGAAAATATGTCTAATTTTCCTTGTTTTTAAGGAAAAATATTTCTTTAGGGAGAGTTGATTTTTATTTTTTTTCAAAATAATGAAAACATTTTTTCTTTTCTGTGTGATATTTTCCATGACAATCAAACACAGTGTAAATGATAAGTTAAATTAAATAAGTTATTTAAACCTTTCATTCAATCTATCAGCTAACGTCACATAAACTAGAAATGTAAACCTAGTGGGACTGCATAACATTATTCGAATTTAATTAAGCAGTATTTGAGATGGAACATTAGCTAAATGAATAAATTTAATATCTCAGTTGCTCATCTAGTTGCCTTTTGATATAAGCATGTTTGAAAAATATTTATTAATTATTTAAATTATAAATAGGTAGAAATAAATGATGTATAAATTGATAACACTCGTAAATACTTTGAAATATATGAACAAAAAAGTTACTTCATTTTTAAGGGCAATAAAAATTTGAAATTGAAGTATTCATTAATAACGTTGGATTATTCAAATTCAAACATTGCCAGAAAACATGCAATTCAATGATATTATGAATTTGAATTTGAAAATTTTAAACTTCAAATAATTATCTTGATGATATATTTTAAATTATATTTTCAAATGAGAATTTACTCTACAAAAAACACTCCTTGCGACGTCCATAACAGCGTGAGTGAGGAGAGTTGAATAAGGGCTCATTTGACATAGCATTCCGAATATTAAAAAGAGTTTTTGTTAATAAAAAATTACTTTTTAACACTGTTTACATAATTTTATGAAAGTGCTTCTAATAATTAGAAGGATTTTTAGACGAAATTGATCTAATATGACTTCTTTTAGAAACACTCTCAAAATAGAAAATTCTTTTAAAAAATAATTTTTAAATAAATATTGAATTAATTTTTTTTTCGAAAGATCTTCTATTGAAAATAAATAAAAGCAAAAACAAAAGTGGCAAAACTCTCCCACTCATTTACTCATGCGCGTTTCCCAAAAAGCCCCCAAGCGCCAACCTTTTATAACCGGTAATTTTATCGCACCGCCCCTTCGCTTCCACCCGTTCTTTCGTTACCCTAATCCGCTCTTATATAACCCTTCACTCTCGTCCTCTCCCCAACCACCTCCACGAAGGATACATTCAAAATTTATATCTACGTACTTTTCAATATTTTTATTTTATTTCGAATTATAGAGAGTATCTAAATAGGGTTTGCTTTTACCAGTATTGATGGCGGCGATTGAATGTTGTAATAAGATCAAAGGACCATGGAGTGTGGAGGAGGATGAGCTGTTACAGAAGCTCGTGCAGCGGCATGGTGCGAGGAACTGGACGTTGATAAGCCGTTCGATTCCAGGGAGATCGGGAAAATCTTGCCGGTTGCGGTGGTGCAACCAGCTATCGCCTGAGGTGGAGCACCGTCCATTCACGCCGGAGGAGGATAAAATCATTCTCAAGGCGCAGGCAGAGTTCGGGAATAAGTGGGCCACGATAGCGAGGCTCCTCAATGGCCGCACCGATAACTCGATCAAAAACCATTGGAACTCGACGCTGAAACGGAAGTGCGCCGCCGCAGTGGCAGATGGAACCGAGCGACCCCTGCAGGTTTTGAGGAGAGCAAACAGCCTCGATGTTACGGCGGCGGTTCCTGAGAGTCCGAGTCCGTGTGGTTCCGAAATCAGCGATTCGATTGATAATGCTGTCGTGAATACAAACACGAATATGAGTGTTCATTTTCCGGTCATCGGAAATGCAGTTTTGGCTCCGGCAGTCGAATCGTCGCCGGCCTTGATGAACGATCATACTGCAGATGACCCGTTGACTGCGTTGACTCTATCTCTGCCAGGGTCTACGAATGAATTTACGACGCCGATGGTGACGGAAAAGGAGGAAAAGGGCGAAACGTTGTCGTTTGTCCCTGAATTGCGTGACGTGCTGCAAGAGATGATTAGGAAGGAAGTGAGAAATTATCTTTCGGAAAAATGAAAATACTGGTGGTGATTTTTGGATCGCCGGAGCTAAACAGTTGGCATTAGCAAACTTAGTAATTAATTAGAATAATGGTTGCAAAATTTCAGTTTTCACAGAGTAATTTTGAATTTTATTTACATGTAATGGCAAAGATAAGAGTTAAAATTCAATAATTTACAACGTCTGCCCGTAAAAGTGACTCTTTAACAGCCTGTTTTTAGGTATTAGGGTAAAGAATTGTTAATGCGTCTGAGCTGCAAGTGCCGTACAAATGA